AAGGCATGTGTTTATTTTTTTTTTGGTTGCTGAGTAATATTCCATTGTGTACATGTACCACATCTTTTTAATCCAGTCATCCACTTTTGGGCATTTGAGCTGTTTTCATGTCTTTTCAATTGTAACAATTATGGGGGTGGAGTGGGGGAATGGGATCAAAAACAGTGGGGGGAAGGAAATATACTGCACTATGATTGATAGCACATGGGTGATTTGCTGATGGAAAGCCCAAGAGGATTACAACTGAGATGGAAAAATGCACAAAATGATGTAAAAATAAAACTATATATTATTTTTTTTAAAGATTTATTTATTTGTACATACAGAACTGGGGTACAGGCCAGAGGCTCAGAGGCGGTAAGAGACTTCACCAGAGACAGAGTGGGGAGCAGAACAGGAAGATCGACGAAGTACACTGCTGAAGGGAGCAGCAGGCGGGTCAGGAGAGGTCTGCCACGCCATATGGTCACATCTGGGGCAGGCAGGAATCGAACTCATGTGGAAGTGGCTTTAGCTTCTCAGTGCTGTGCTTTAACCCGCTGCGCCACCAGGGAGGGCCTAAAACTATTATATTATTTAAAAAAAAAAAAAAAGCAAAGGGCAGAGGCAAAGCATAAAGCATGCCACTCTAAGTAAGGCAGACCCTCAGTCTTGACACTAGTGACATTTTGGGCTGGCTTGTTCTTTGCTGTCCTATGTATTACAGGATATTTAGCAATATTCCTGGTCTCTACCCACTAGATGTCACTAGCAACCTGCTCCCCAACTGCAGCAACAGGGGGAAAAGCAGGTGGCATGACCCTCACTGTAGACACTGTCCAATGTCCCCTGGGGGAGCACTCACTCATAATTGAAAGCCACTGCTCTAATACGACTGAATTTTAATCTGCTGCAAATGAAAGTCATTTAATGGTTTTAAGCACAGGAAGCAATATGATCAGATTTACTTGCCAACGGATGCAGCAGTGTGGAGATCAAGCATGGGGATGCAAGAAGGTAGTCAAAAAGATCAAGCCAAAAACGGCACAATTTGGGTAAAGAACACATGAACCAAAGTGGTAGGATGGAGACAGAGTGGGTATGAAGACAAGTAACAATGGTGGATTTACACAGAACTCCTGAGACCAAGTAGGACGATGAGAGGGAAAAAGAAATGATCCAAAATAACTTGCAGGTTTCTACCTTGGCAATTTAGGTAGCTGGATGATGAGGGCTATCACCTACGATAGGGATTTAAAAGAAAGCAAGTTTAAAAATGAGTTCAGTTTCAAGGCCCTCTCTGGTGGCGCAGTGGGTTAAAGCACAGTAGTAAGAAGCTAGAGCCACTTCAATATGAGTTTGAGCCCTGCCCTGGAGGTGACCCACATGATGCAGCAGACCTCTCCTGACCCACCAGCTGCTCCCCTCAGCAGTGTACTTCGAAGATCTGCCTGTTCTGCTCCCCACTCTGTCTCTGGTGAATCCTCTCACTGTCCCTATACCTCTGGCCTGTACCCCAGTTCTGTATGCATAAATAAATAAATCCTTTTTTTTTTTAATGAGTTCAGTTTTAAATAGACTAAACGTCTGAGATAAATGTGGTCTATCCAGACAATGAGGTGAGCAGAACCGGTGTTCAGTCAGCCAATTCTTGTATGGTAGAGGTCACATGCCACATCCTTTACATATGAAGACTCATTTCATCTTCACCACAATACAGATGGGGAAACTATTGCCTAGAGAGCTAAGTAACTTCTCCAGGATCCCACAGCTAGTAAGTTCTGGAGCTGGGCTCTCAAACAGTCTGCACACTACATGTCACCAGACTGATCACTGCAATCTGCTGCCTGCCTCAGGAAAAACTAGAAGAAGTGAGTCATAAATGTAGGTTTGGGTGATTTTCAGCAAACAAGTTGGAGTTGATGGAGGCACAGGCCTAAATGTGAACTCCCAGGGATGAGCAAGGAGAGAAGAAAACAATGTAGGATGAAATGCCAGAAGAAAGTATCTCTTAAGGCAAAGGTGAAGGAATGAGAGGAAGGAGCAGATGAAAGGACTCAGGAGGCAATGACAGTAAGTGCTCAGGGCAGGAAATAAGCAATTGTATCGTTGTAACCCATAACAACCCCTTGCTTATAATCTACCCTCTGTAAATGTTCATAAACGAATGAATAACTTTACACTCCCAAAGAGTGATCACACCAAATATCCATGCTTACAGCACAGTCAAAAGATTTAATTGCTGAGCAAAACCCGAATCATATGTATTTGTGACTTTCTAGAATACCAGGATTTTGAGAAGACATATATTCATTAAATATGAAGCTACCACTTAGATACCATATGGAATCATCCCTTACATCTAAGATTTAAAGACTTTAGTCACATCTTACTTTCACATGAAATGTAAAAGCATGCAATGAAACATGTTACTCTGCTTTGCATTTTGTTGAAGGTCACATGCAATAATGGCTCTTCTGAGTTTTGCAAGACAGACACAAAATTGTGTAGTATCTTCCTAAAAGAGGGCTGTGAAAACTGATTACTACTCTAAGTAATTACTACAGCAGCTGGTGAATTGTACTGCTATCACAGATCTTCTGTGCTGAAACAGTTTTTGTTATGCATTCCTTATCATTCCTTACAGTTCTATATCCTAAATACATTTAGCAGAAAATGAGTTTCCCCAAGATGTGAAAAAAGCTGGTCCCCATTTCCAACTCAAGACAACTGTTTTCTATGAGAAAAAAATCTTGATATCCAAGCCCAAACTCAAACACTTTCAAATTTTAATGTACATATACAAGCCATTTGGGGGTCTTGTTGAAGACTGATTGGCAAGTATGCAGCGAGGCCAAGATTCCTAACAAGCTTCCACCTGCATGATATGGATGCTCTGGTCCACAATGGCTACTCAATGGTGGCCCCTGGACCAGAAGCACTCGCAGCACATGGAAACATGTAGAACTGTACATCTCTCAGTACGACAAAGAGAACATACCAATTATCAGTTGACACTCTAGAAATTTACATAAAACTCATTCACTCATTTTCTTTTTTGTTTGTTACTGAACATTAGAACTTCTCTATTCCTCCCATCACTGTAGAACGTGGTTCTCACAGCTAAGCCCTTCCACAAGCAGACTGCTGCTGCTTCTTCAGGCTTCTCTCCTACAATCTCTACACTGGTACACACATGCCAACTTAAGGGGATTAGTAGTTTCCTAAACATGCTCTCTCACCACCTCTCATTTCATCTTGGTTTGCTGTAGTTGTAGCTTTTCTCTGATAGGCCAGGCACTAGCCATTTCGCTACAGTCATCTAATTTAATTTCTCAATGGCATGGGTATCACCATTCTTTAAGCCAACCAGCTCTGAGGTTTAAGGAGAGGCTACATTTACTTTTTTTTTTTTTTAAAGAGTTATTTATTTATTCATACAGAACTGCAGTACAGGCCAGAGATGCGGAGGGTGAGAGGATTCACCAGAGACAGAGCGGGGAGCAGAACAGGCAGATCGACGAAGTACACTGCTGAGGGGAGCAGCGGGCGGGTCAGGAGAGGTCTGCCACGCCATGTGGATCTCCTCTGGGGTAGGCAGGAATGGAACTCATGCGGGAGTGGCTTAAGCTTCTTAGTGCTGGGCTTTAACCCGATCCGCCACCAGGGAGGTCCAAGGCTACATTTACTTTAAGTCACTAAGCTATTGTCAGGTCAAGTCAGTCAAATGGACAATCTCTCAAATACAAACTGAAAAACTGATCCAATGTAATGTACTAAGGCCAAAGTCAGTCCATGGAAAATATTCTCTGCTAAATTCTGCACATAAATAGAAAACCAAAGTTCATTCTGAGTGACTGTTAACAAAAAGCTTAGGTAAATAAACTTCTCTTACCAATAGACAGAAAGTGAGGTCAAAGTTAAAAGTGAATTATCAGCATTGGGATCACCACCAATACTGCAACCCAAAATTTAACCATCAGAATTATACTGGTCTAGAGCAAGAATTACAGGAAACAATTTGACTTCACTGATTTTTTGAGTAAATGTTCTATTTGAGAGCTGTCAAGACAATATTAAGCATCCAACCTGAAGCCCATGTGCATGATATTCATTCATTGTTGGTCAACTAGCTTTCCTTCCCCTGAAGATCATTTAGCAAAGGGTGTCTGACATCGGTGGTAGGCAGAACAAGGGCTACAAAGAGGTCTCCCTCCGAACCCCCTAGTTGGCAGTATGTTACCTTATACAGCATAAAGGACTTTGCAGTTGTGACGAAGGAACTCAAGATGGGGAGGTTACCCTGGATTACTGAGATAGGGTCAAGGCAAAAGAGAAAGTCAGGATGCTGAGGTGTGAGGAAGACTTAACAACCTCCTGTTGCTGGCTTCGAAAATGGAGGAAGGGACTGTGAGCCAAAGCAGCAGTTTCTAGCAGCAACAAAGATAAGAAAACAGATCTTCCTCTGACGTCTCCAGAAGGGAGCACAGTCCAGACATCCTGATTTTAACCTAGTGAGACCACACTGAATTTCTAACTTACAGCACTGTATAGTACACTTGTGTTGTTTTAGATTACTAATGTGTGATCATTTGTCAGCAACAGGAAACTAATATCATGGTAAACAGCTATGGAAAAAACTCTCTAAAACACACACACAGATAACTCCTTAAGGGTGTAGGTGATGCTCTATAAAAAGCTCAGCAAATGTGTTAAGATTACTTTGCAATTACCATGAAATACACATACTCTTCTATATAAATGCTAACACACAAAGTACAAAACCAGATTTTACAAAAAGATCGAAAATAAATACAATTAACTTCGACCCAAAAATGTTGGATTAGAAAAACAAAGCAAACTGAGTATTTTTAACCAAAGAAGAAGTTGATAAAGATTAGGTAGGAAATTGTGATACTTCTCACAGATAACACTAAGAAAAGGGACCGAGACATCAGAGTATGTTTTCAATGCATTGGCCAGAGGAAATGGTCAGCATTTCTTTTAAAGCTCATAGTTACCTGATGATCCTCTGGGCAGCGTACTGATGGAGGGAACGAAACTGTGCTGACATATTTGCTAACGCTGCCAAGCAATTTGTGTGAAGGTACTTGTCCTGCAGGAAAACAGCAAGTTCAAAACATCATCAAATGTTCTCAACATTTTAGACAAGGTTAACGAATGGAACAAGTGGAAGCTAAATAGTCACTGATTTTAGAAAGTTCAGGTCCACAGGCCCTTTTCTCTAGTTCCAAAATCCATAAGACACCAAAAATTCTGTTTCTTCACTTTTCATTTGGAAGCAACATCTGGCACAAAAGGATATGAGGCTGTATATGGTCTTCCTCCCACCCTGGTGAATAATAAAATATTCTGCTTAGTTATATTATTATTAAAAGCTACAGTGCACTGCTCTGGAACAAGATGGTCCATGCAGCACATGCAGGCAATGTGTTTGCTGAAAGCTAATTTCCCACTTCCTCTCCCTACCTCCAAGACATATCCAGCTCTTGGAGTTTCAGATAAAATATTGTGGGCATGGATCTACATTAGCCCCACAGTAGGAAATAAATGAAAACAGTTCATAAAAGCCTGACCATTTCTCTTAACTGTGAATTCCATGTATAGCTCCCTCATTGACCAGAACTGAAATCTACTCCTTAGTTAATGCAAGTACAATCCAGTAGTAGAAACTGTCCTTTTACTTTTTATTCTCTTACTTCTATTTCTCTTTACTATCTGAATTTATATTTTCTTCTGCTTGCATCTTCTTCCTTTGTTGTTGATGCTTTTAAAAGGCAAATCAGTTTAGCAATGCAACAAAGACATACAATATCTTTAACTAAATATGCTCCACTGTCTGCTTTCTGTTTCACATACACTCTAGTAAGCATTAAGAAACAGACACAATACATTTATCTTAGGATCATGTGATACAGTGATCATATGCTGATTGTGTTTTTCCACCATATTTCATGAGAACATCAGCACTCTATCGAAATTAGTTTAAACTACAGTTGACCCTTGAACAACAGGGATTTGAACTGCATGGTTCCACTTCTATGAGAACGTTCATGTACAAAGGGACACAAACTTACAGTAACAATAAATACAGTATAGTACTGTAAACGTCTATCTTCTTGTACAGAGTTGTCTTAATATTTTCTCTTTTCTAACTTACTTTAAGTTACATATACATAAATATATCAATCTACTACATACAAAGTAGTGGATTGTTAATGTTCTCAGGAAAGCATCTAGTCAATACCAGCCTATTAGTTAAGTTCTAGGAGAGTCAAAAGTTCTGTGTGGATTCCTAACACCTAGGGAGTTAAGGCCTGTAACTCCTGCATTGTTTAAGGGTCAATTGTGCAGTCTTAATAGAGCTGTATGCGAACGGTAGAAAAACAGCTATGCAATACTCACTCTTGTTCTTGTCATGTTGTATTGGATGGTTCTTATTACAACCAGTATCAGGAGACTCCCCAGTGAGATTTCAGTTAAAACCCGTTCTGAATACCAAGTAATATTTTTTAATATCTGTAATGGGAAAGAAACTTTAAGTGAATATAATTGCTTTAATATCCACATTTATGGTCTAATCCATGGCACTGCTCAAAGGTAAGTTCACAGTGCATAAGTGAAGCTTGAGTCCTTCAGGTCAAGACAGCAAAAGCATGCTGAGCCACTGACTTCGTCCCTCTGTCTTTTAAGCATAAGAACAGATGGGAAAACATCAGAGGATATCATTAGTAGACAAAAAGGAGATGTATTTAAAAGCCTGAACATTGTATAAGACTGACAGAAAGAACAATCAGAACTGAACAGTTTGAAGGTGAAAATAAGAAAAGTAAGGAGTCTCTTGCGGAACAGAATCGCCCAAGAGACCACAGAAAGCCTCCACACTTGTATCCAGGAAGGACCAACAACACAGTTGAACCAGAATCTTCCAGAGATAAGCACATACCCCTGCCCGGTATGGGTTACTGACCAGGGAGTTTTATATTATGCTAAAAGTGTTTAAAATAAGTTGATCTGGGGAATAATAACATCAGACTATAAGTATGTTAAAGCCAGTAGTAAGCTGTATCTTTAAAACTGATACACTTCCTATTTTGTTCTTCAGGCTAATTTTTTTTTTTAAATCATGTCCACTTTTTCTCTCTCTAGTGGTATTTTATTGCACACAAAAATTCAAGAAATTTGTAAGTTTTATGCTCATCTACAGTGGTCAAGATTCCAAGGATCTTAGTTGAAACTGACCACATTGGATAAAAGGTAAAAGAAGTTTTTAATGGTGTGTTAAAGAATAGTAAAGATGACATGAAAGTCCGCTGAAGACAAGAAAAGAATGTGCTTGTACCCAATAAAGAGTGAAATCTATAGCCTTCCACCAGCCCCCCACAGCAAGGAGAATGGCAGAGTCCTCTCTACGAAACTAACCAGAACTAGACTGTATAGTGCAAGCTACATTCAATAACTCCACCCACACACAGAAAGGCCAATCAACATTCTAGTGCCTCCCTCCTACATGTGAACTGTTAAGCAAAGACTCAAATTTGGGCTAAGACAGAAGTTAAAGCAAAAATTGAAACCAAGAATGTATACTTTAATACATTTAGAGGGACTTCTGTTAAAGTATCAGGAGTTGAGTCAGTGATCTGGACATGAAACCAAGGCAATGGGAAGCTACAGAAAAATTTAAACATGTGTAAGAAATGATCACATACTACCTCACAAAACTAAAAAATGATAGTAACAGTCATAAAAGTTGAGTTAACAAAAAGATAGTAACTTGGAAGGAAGGAAAGGTCTGTGTGATAAGGAGACTAAGAACTTAGAGGAACACGGATGGTATACAGGAAGGAGAAAGACTTGTCTTTCGTTTCAGGAAGGTATAGCTAATATCTGCATCTGACAAATCAACACATAACAATATAAGCATGTTACTTAGAAACATGGACAGAGCTTAAAACATTTCTCTTTGTGGAATAGAAATCGAAAACAGGTTAGACATGAGGTCTGCTATTTTTCATTAAAAAACCTGAGTACTTCTAGATAATTTTTAAAACTATATTTAAAACAAAGAAAATGCCAAAGAAAATAAAACCAGTTTAGAATGAGACTAACACCAGGACTAAGGTTGAAGAGCTGAATTATGTTATACTTCTTTTCAAAAATTTTAAAAAACGACCAATTTCTGTCTGCTTTCGTTTCCTATTCTTTTATTCATTCTGTATACAAGAAGCAAACCTGTTTGACAATTTATGCCAAACAAAAAAATGAAAACAAAATGAAGTATTATGAACCTTTTCATCAATTACAAAAGAAATAAGGCTAATAATTATTGGTCATTAGAATAAAAGCACCACTTCAAAAATCTTAAGAAAGATACCATTTCTAGGTCAGAAGGAAAAGAAAGAAGACAAGCCAAGGTTGTAGGAGATCTTCTGGAGGGACAATCTCTGCATCTCTGTAACCCCACACAAAGCAGGGCAGCTTACCACTTCATGAATGGACCTATTGAAGCCATCATCTTCTGTAAGGATCAACAATATTATAAGGGCCATATATACATGGTGTGAATTTCTTTCTTCGACATGATACAGAATCTCAAGAATGGGTAAAACCTAGGGAACAAAAGATTTATTATTGTAATGATTTAACTATAAGACTAAATGTTTTCAACCTTTATATTTTTATTATGTACCCTTTGCTCTAGTTTTGCAAATGTATTTTTCTTTAGAGAAAATAACATACAAACCAGCTTCTTACGAAATACTTCCCAGTGTATAGCAAGATACCAAGAGAGAAAATTGTCACCCCTGAGAAAGTGACAGCCTAAGAAAGTCTGCTGCCACCGTAAGGTTGAGTTTGCAGAGAACATTTAGGCTCATGTCACTATGGTCTTCAATCTAACAGGAACCTGCACATGGTAAGGTATTCTCAGAAACACTGCTTTGTGTGAAACAGCACCTTCTCACTTGTAAATACTGAGAATAAAAGAAATTAAATTCACTACCAATGACATATTCCTTGATCATAGCTTCCATAAGTAGTTATTATTGAAGAAAGGTAAAAGGTATCAGTTAAGTCATCAAAGTAATCTAGGCAAGAAAATTAAACACAGAAAAAAACAAACTCCACCCCATAAAAATTCAAAACAAAACCTTCTAATTCTTTGTTGGTGTATGTCATACACAGAAAAATGCTCTCCACATATTCATATATACCAACATCCTTACCATGAAACTATTTAGAACTTTCATTCAGACTTTCTGCTTTTATTGCATCATTGATAAAACATACTCAGAACTGTCTCTGTACTCATATCAACCATTCAATAATAAAAACAAGCCTTTTTACAAGACTCTACCTTTACAAGCAGTACACAGTTATACCTAATTTTGCTGTGTATGCCAGTGTTTTGGCATAAACACGTTAACTGGTGTGCAGGTTCTTTCATGTTTTTTGTCCTCCATAT